ATACAAAATTAAAATTAGAAATAAAAGTATAATTAATTTAGGATAAAAATGATAATCTTTCTTTTATAGGAATAAAAGATTTTTAATTATTTCTAATAAAAAGATTATTTGATGATGGGTGTTTTGATAACAATATTGATCCTTTTGATGGATGTTTTTCGAATAATTATGATTGCATTTAAGGTTGTGAATTTTGTATAAAAGGTATTTGTTATGGTTGTATGGTTGGATGGGAATTTAATGAATAAATAGGCATTTGTATTCCCTATTGTGGAGATGCAATTATTACTTATAATGAAGAATGTGATGATGATAATGAAAATGTTTATGACGGATGTCATGAATGCAAATATTCTTGTCATAAAAACTGTAAAAAATGTGAGTATGGAAATGTTTGGAATGTTTAATTGAATATGAATTTGATTTTCATAAAAATTAATGTATTCCTAAATGTTCAGATGGAATAATATTATATTAAGAAATTTGTGATGATGGGAACCGAATTCAATTTGACGGGTGTTAAAAATGCTAAAAAAGTTGTGAAATATAATGTTTATTTTGTTCTAATAATAAGTGCTATCTTTGTCAAGAGGGTTGGCAGCTTCAAGAATATTAATGTATATAAATCTGTGGAGATGGGCTATTAGCGATCTTATCCAACGAATAATGTGATGATCTTGAAGATTCATATTGTGCTAATTGTAAGTATCAACGTGATCCTGACTGTGTGATTAGTGATAAATTCTAAAATTGTGAGATTTTTTAATCCCCTTTAATTAGTATAGATGGCAAATGTTTATCAGTTTGTGGAGATAATGTTGTTACTCCCCTTTTCGAATAATGTGATGATCGAAATGATATCCCATATGATGGTTGTTATCAATGTGAATATTAATGCTCTTATGGATGTATATAATGTGAGAAGGATAATCATTGTGTATAATGTTAAAATTCATCTTTCTTTTTAGATAATCAGTCTTTTTTATGTAAAACACTATAATCCTAAATTTAACTAAAACCAGAAGTAGATGAAAATATTTATATATAGTTTATTTAAAATTAATCATTTGTTAATAATTAATGTATTAATTTATGCGGTGATGGAATGCTTGATAGAAATATTGAATATTGTGATGA